TGTATATATAAATATATAAATATACATATATAAATAGACATATGTATATATATATGTATATGTATATATATGTAAATATAAATGTTTCGCAGAGGAAAGAGAGAACTCACCGGATCTGGCGGAAGTCTGTAATCTGTGGATATCTCGCTGCTCGCGCTCCGCTCCTCGGCCGACCTTTCCCAGTCCATCTCTTTTTTCAGGGACTGTAAAGGAAGAGAGAGCGCATCGGGGTTACATCGAGGTAATAAATACACAATGAACGAGACGGCGGCGATATCGAGATCGCGGGGTACACCGCGGTGCTATCGACAGTCGCGTCGGAATTATCATCGGTTTTCCCTCTTGCATATTAATCGCGACGTTGGTTATCAATGTTTCAAGCCGAACCGATAGCGCAAAGAGACGCGGCCTCGGCTTCGCCGGAGACGCGATGAAATTGTCGAAACAGGCGTGTCGATTAGGATCTCCCCTCGCGAGACAGTATCATTTTTGTTGCCCTACAATTTTGTGCTTACCTGCAACCTCTGTATTATAACATTGCTTGCTCGGAATTAATTGAGTTAGCTCAATACACCACTTAGAACTCTAAGACGATTCCTTCTGTTTTTTTGCGCATCGTACACGCTATACAGGATATCCCAGACTCTTTCCCGCAATTTCTGTAGGAACGTAGAACGGATTGAGGTGAAAAGTCCCATACCGTTTTGCAATATTCGCAATAAATCTCGAGATATTAATTAACCCTTTAAATCATAGTGTATCATATATAATACACCTTTTTTAAAGCAGTTTTTACGAATTTAAACTAATTTGTAGAGACTTCGAGGCGGTAAATGTGGATCCATTGTGAAGCTTAGATGTTCCTCTAACAGAATCATCTGCATAGAATATTAAATTTTGCAAATTTAATTATTCATAAACAAATTAATGTAAAGAAATGGTATTTTTTTTATAAATTCATTTGTCAAAAATATTGCAAAGTAGTCCTATAGAAAAAATGGCTTGGTTGATGCTTTTTAAGCTGTAGATGATAACGCAATCTCAAAAATATTAAAATTCAAGATGGCAAACTCAATATGGCGAGCTAAAATACCAACAATCGGGATAAGTCATATTTCTTTCCGTAAATGAGTGAAGTTAAGTCTGTTATAGCTTGAATTTCAAAAAAGAGATTTTGAATTCGTGATCAGCGACGCTAAAAATCCTCGGATACCAATTTTCATGGAAATCGAAGAAATTTTAAAATTGTTGTCCACCACATTACATAGATCTCCGCCATCTTAAAATTTCAAAAACTGACTTTAAATTTATAATTAGCGACCCCAAAAACCTCCAGATACCGATTGAACAAAGGAAAAGGTTGTGTAGAACAATTAGTAACTTAAAAGGTTAAAAAAGATTAACCGGTTCACTGGTAATCACACATATATGTGTAGAAAAAAAAAGTGCCACAACTGATAAGCACACATATATGTGTTCGCTGTATTTCTCTGCCAGTTTTGCATGAAATGGATTTGCATGAAACTTGCTACCCTCATGTTTTTTGGATCGCTGATTAAGAATCCAAGGTCAAATTTAAGAAATTTAAAATGACGGATCCAATATGACGGCTTCAAGTGACTAACTTTGATATTCTATTACAGATACAAACTCGATATGATATTCGGTATGATTCCATGAATACTCCGTTCCCTAATAACACAAATTGACGTCTAGGAGACATTCAGAGTATGTTCTGAGAACGTGGGGATGTTTTTACGTCCTCAGGAAATCTATGGGACTCCTGTGGGATTTGACGTCCCCAAGAGATTTTGTGCTGTATGGGTTATTAGCTAGTGAAATATTATGAATTTTATATTATAAATTATAAAATGAAACAATATAAAAATATATTCAGAATTGACTTTAGAGAAAATTTGACCCTGGAAATATAATGAACGATATAAAGGATATTAGTTTTGGGTGCATAAGGTAAAAGTACCGGTAACGGGACAAATTTGACGTCGAATTCGTAATCAGTTACCCAAAAAACCTCTTATTAGATAAGCTTTCATGTAAAATGCGGAATTTTTTGTTCTCACCAGTTTTGGTACGAAACGTTGGTTCCGAGTTCACCAGTGAACCGTTTAATGAAGACAATATGGTAGATGAATTGTAGTGGCGCCGTCTGCCGTTGTGTACTTATACATTAGGTCAAACTGAACAAAAAAGTCCTCTACCATTTTACAAATGACCACATAGATTTTTAGATATTAATTAAAGATTTGTGCATAATCGTGTACAATCATGTAACAATTGTTTTCATTAATAACTAAAAATCTACGTGATTATTTGCAAGATAATCACGATTTTGTTCAATTTGGCCTAATATACAGGTACACAACAGCACTGCCGTGCTAAGGAAAAAAGTGGTTAACTACATTTGCCTTCAAACTGAGAAAATCGACGAAAACTGTTTGCTTAAAGAATCGTAATGGAGTAAGTAAATCTCTATGAATACAAAAGCATGTATTAGGTAAATCGGGTATGCTTTTTGTATTCTGCAATAAAAAATTAATTTTTTAAATATTTACTACTAGAAAATGTATTTAAGGTTCTTGCTTTTTGAAAATATAAGAGACAAAAAGTCGCAAAATGACTTAATAGTTTTCAACATAAGAAAATCGTAACTACGAAAAGCTTCTCTTTTGTAATAAGGACTATACTTTACCAATGCTTTTGCCAGAGAAGAAAGCATTAATGGATGTTGTGGTCTTTTTCACGTGTATTTTTGTGACGTATTGGACGTACAATTTTTTTGTCAATTACGGTTTCTTTTCTGGCTATTTTGTCATATTCGAGACTTTTACCTAAAGTTTAACCCTTAACCCGTTTTTATTTCAATAAATAATAATAATTTTAAGTTTTTGTTAATACAGTTAGACGTAGTTCTTTGTCACGAATATATTAATATAGAAAATTCATTTTTCTTAAAAATGTGACTTAACCACTTTTTTCCTTGGCACAGCAGAACACACATCGACATTACAGCTGATCCACCATGTCGTACATGATTATTATCAATCTTCTTTAATTAATATCTCGACTATTATTGCGAATATCATAAACCGGCATAGGACTTTTATGTTTATCTCAATACGTTCTACGTTCTCACAAAAATTGCGAAGAAGAGTCTGAGCGGGACGTCCTGGGATATTCCAGCTTAATCTTTCGATTCCTATATTTCCAATTTCCCAGACATAAGTTCTCAAAAGATGCGAATGAATAAGTTATATCAAGACTCAAATAAATAAGTTATATCTTCTTGAAAATTGTATAAAGTATGCATTTATTTGTCTCAAACAAAAGCTTATAACTTAAAAATCAATTAGAAAAATCCGTAAAAATTATCCAAATTTTCTGATAGAATTATTCTAAAAAAATCATTTATGGGGCGAATGGCTCGCCCCGCTTGGAAGTCGAAAGGTTAAATAGACTCTGTATAGTTATGAATTTATGCTCTGACCTTTTGAATTTTTTCATATTTTTATCTGCTTTTAGGCGCTCTACGAGAGCTGTATGATAAGTATCCGTGTGTACTGATGGCGTCACTGACTCAAAGTTTGTATACTATCGTTTTAACGCCATCTTTCGAACGATGCCAGTCAAAATTTCAGACAGATTTATCGAGTAGTTTTGTTTTGATAACTGTTGAAAGTGCACGAGTTTGTGTTTGTTTGCAACCATGGAAAAAGAGCAATATCAGTCAGTGATTCGATTCCTTTTTTTGAATGGGAAGACGTGTGAGGAAATCAAAGTGAAGTTGCATGCCGTTTATAAGGACCATGCACCTTCGATGACTACCATTAGACATTGGTTCAATGAATTCAAGAGTGGCCGAATATCCATTTTTGATGAAGAGCGCCCAGGTCGTCCGATTGAGGTGACTACGGAGGATATGTTCACTTGGCGAACCTACTCCAAAGAGGGCAAAAACGGTTCCATCGGCCGGAAAGATCATGGCCACTGTTTTTTGGAATTCGCGAGACATCATTTTCACCGACTATTTGGAGAAAGGAAGGACAATCACGGGGCAGTACTATGCTGATTTATTCGACGCTGAATTGAAGAGAAAACGGCCCCATTTGGCGAAGAAAAAAGTGCTCTTTCATCATGACAACGCATCAGCTCATTTGTCCGCAATCGCCACAGCAAAACTGGTCAAATTACGCTACGAATTGCTGTCTCATCCACCCTATTCTCCAGATTTGGCCCCCTGCGATTTCTATTTATTTTCAAACATGAAAAAATGGCTTGGCGGAAAGCGGTTCACATCAAACGAGGAAGTCATCGCCGAAACAGAGGCCTATTTTGCGGAGTTCGACAAATCATATCTTTTGGATGGTATAAAAACGTTGGAATATCGCTGGATTAAGTGTATCGAGCTGAAAGGAGACTATGTTGAAAAATAAGTAAAAAAAATTTTTTAAATGCGTTTCCTTCCCTAACATAGGTACTTATCATACAGCCCTTGTATATCGTGAAATATTGATGAATTACAGCTTTGAATGTGATTATTCCTTGTTTTTCTGTCACTGCTATCTGTCTGCGATATTATACTACTCTACTATTTATTAAAGGGTGATCCCGTAAATAAAGGATATTATTTTTATCATTATTTAGGATATTATTTTTGTGTTAGAAAACTCAGGACTTTGCCTTCGCACGCGCGGAAACGCGCAGGGACGACTCGTTATCACGTTACGAAACTTTATCGGATTCTCGACTCGTGTCTACGTCGACACGGTCGACATTTTCCCCGACCTATCTCAGCATGCATAACATTCGTCTTCAAGGCAGGCGCGTCGACTAATTTGGAGTTTAAGTTAAATCGCACGGCACATTGGTGTAGTCGAGAATAACCGACAGAATCAGACGTATCCATGAACGGGATATTCGAACGAACGAATGGTTAGAAGTGAGAATAATGCGCTACACTATCGCGCCATCATGTTATCCTTGTATGTCGCAATACCGATCTATTATTATCATCGTTGCTATTAATCGATCAAATGGTACGAATTAATTGTGATCTCGAGGTTCTTGTTTATCTTTGTTCCAGAAAGGCGTTTTCCAACATTTGACGAATGATTAGGATAAAGAACTACAGCAACACTATAATTTACACACAAGTGTAACATTCACATTAAACATTCTCAATTCT